CTGAAAGTGTTTTTTTTTTTTAGTTCTCGTGCTTCTCAGAGGTTTGTCGACATATGCAGGGGGCGTTGACGTGCCACAGTGAGTGAGTGAGGAATCTGTATTTACGACAACTGAAGAAACAAAAAATGCAGCCCCTTGAAGAGTGGTTATGTGTGCAGCAAATGCGTTTAGAACAAAATGTGGAACAATCTTAGAGCACTATGCAATATGGAAGCCCCGCATACGACCGATCCCTAAAGCAGAACCTCGTCTACCACTTTACTATAGATCAGGTGCAACTTAAGACCGGAGAAGTCCCACCTGACAGTCGAAGCGCGGCTGCCGATTGCCGGCGCTGCTGAATAAATAATCCCGTCTCGTGTGCAAGGCCATATTCTGAAAAGGCGAAGTCACCAACAGTCCTGTTTGTGACGTGAGCTCGGACTAAGTGCCCACAGATGCAGGCTTGTGAGCAGCTGCCTTTGAGGGGGAAAGTACACGAACTTTTTAAGGTTTTTTTAGAGAACTCTTTGCTGGCTGAGTTGGTGCTTAACTGTGGTGGGATTCGTTGCTCATACACTCAGCAAAACACTGGAAGAAACATTTTGTACAAATATTGAGCCCCCCGGATCTCCTACGTCTGGGCAATGACTTCACCAAAAAATATCATCACGGGACGTCACAAAGATCACCAGCTAGTGGGACGTCCTCACGACGTCCCATTGTGACGCAACCTCACACTTTAGATGGCGACGTCATTCGTGATATTGTCATCAGGTCAGGCGTCTGTAACACCGTGGCACGCGGTGCCTGTCAAAAACGAAGTTGGAATTCTGTAGCGCGGCGCATGTAGGTTGAGAATAAAAAAAAACAGTTCGAAACTCAAAGCTCCCGGGACTGGTTCTTTCTCGCGTTAGCCCCGACTGTTGGCTGGTGATACGCCGTAGACGAGAGTGCACCTCAACCTGCAGAAACCATGTGCTGAGGCTGTTAGGCCAATATGGTGGTAGATTGACATGCTGGAACGCCGCCATCGCAGTATTACTAGGTTGGGCATCGTCTTGGACGTCAGAACCGGTAGGAAGGATGAAACAGCCGGAGGGATCTATGCGGGATGGTTCGGGCTGCGAGTTTCTTATCGAGTCACCATTAACTGTCGGGGCTAAGACGAGATAGAACCAGTCTCGACAGCATCGAGGTTTGAAGTGATTTTTTTCAATTCTCGCCCTGCACGCACCGTGTGACCGGATGCCATCGTCTTCTTATTTGACAGGTTCCGCGTACCGAGGCTTTACAGCTCTATCTTTATCGCAGGAATCTTCCATCGAATCCGGAAGCAATGCAATACCATGAGGAGGGAATAAACTTATAACGGTACAGCATGCATTTCCTACATATTTCACAACGTCAATCAAGCCTAAGCATTACTCTGGTACCGTCACGCGTACGTGGCAGGGATGAGTCCACGGCACACTGTGAGAACGTCCGAGAAGCTACATCTCGGACGTCATTATGAAGAAGGCCTGCGAGAGCATAGAGAAAGAAGTGCGCCCGTCAACTCCGCTGGTTGCCCACCGTCGCAAAGTGTAACGTCTCCAACGCGTCGTTTTGTTTTGTTGCACTTTGCGAGCTAGTGTAATAGATAACAGCGTCCTACTACGACATGTGGCTGTTGCATCTAGAATTCTTCGTTTTCTTGGTAAGCGTTTCGTTTATTTCGCCTTAGACGCTGTAACATATCCTCTAATCTTTTGATGCAACCTTTCTAACGTGCCTCGCGTGTGCCTATACATTGAGTGGACGAACTCGTTTTCTGTTCGCATCCAGTTGTTGCTCTGACTACTAATTGGAACTACACTTGACAACTAGTTGCGCAAGTAATCGGCGAACGACCTACAAGTTAGCACGCGTTACAACAGGAGCAAGTGGCGTCTGACCGCGTAATATATTCGACGCGACACACCCGATTTTGTTTCGTCGTCGATCGGTAAGCTTCAGGTAATAATTGTTACAAGATCGGAAGTGCAATCGTGCCATCGTGAAAGTTCATTGGTTTATTTTGCAATTTACGTTGTTGTTTTTCTGGGCACGTCACCCTCGTTTTTGAGAGTTGCTGCTCCTGACCGGCCAAGTTGATCGCAGTAATAAAGCAAAACAACTTTATCTGCACCGACTGCATTGCATTCATGTCTCTGGGCCTAACTCGGTCTTTCCACACTTAATGCATCCGTACGCACGTTTCATTAGTGCCACCATCATATTAGCTCTTTGACAGAATCTGGCAGATAACGACGGGGGAAAGTAAGGAAAGCACTAGAAGGAATGCAAAGAGGCAAAGCCGCTGGACGGACCTCCTGAAAAATGGAGGAGAAATTGTGTTAGAAAAACTATTCGCCTTACATACAAAGCGCCTCTTGACGGGAAGGGCACCAGAATCTTGGAAGAATGCCAACATTACCTTAATCCGTAGGAAACGAGACGTCAAGGACTTGAAAAATTACAGGCCTATCAGCTTACTGTCCGTCTCTACAAGATCTTTACAAAAATAATAGCTGATAGAATCAAGGCAATATTATAGTTTAATCAACAAAGGACCATGCAGAATTTTGTACAGGTTACTCCACAATAGACCATAGAATATTATCAATCAGGTATAAATAAATGCAGGGAGTAAAACTAATCCTTGATTTATATGTGGGATTTAACGTCCTAAAACTATTGTATGATTATGAGAGACGCCGTAGTGGAGGGCTCTGGAAATTTCGACCACCTGGGGTTCTTTAATGTGCGCCCAAATCTGAGCACACGGGCCTACAACATTTCCGCCTCCACCGGAAATGCAACCGCCGCAGCCGGGATTCGATCCTACGACCTGTGGGTCAACAGCCGAGTACCTTAGCCACTAGACCACTGCGGCGGGGATAAATATTCTTTACATAGTATTCATAGATTACGAGTAGGCGTTTGACTCGGTCGATACATCACCGAGTATGCAGGCAGTATACGAAATCAGGGCACATAAAAACCTTACATAAACATACTGTAACAAATCTACAGTGGATCTACAGCTACCATAGTCTTCCATAAAGAAAACGACACAATTCCAATTCAGAAAGGTGTAAGCCAGGGAGACACAATCCCTCCAATGCTATTTACCGCGTGTTTCCTAGGATGTCTTCAGGACCCTAGATTGGGAAGAGTCAGGGATAACAACTACTGGAGAGTATCTTAGTAACCTGCGATTCGCTGATCACAATGCCTTGATGACTGACTGAGGGGTCGAATTACAGCTCACGATTGCAGAACTGGACACGGAAAGCAGAAAAGTAGGTCTGAAAATAATATCCACAAAACTAAAGTAATCTCCAACAGTCTCAGCAGAAAACAGCACTTTGCGGTAGGTGGAGAGACGCTGAAAGTGCTTAAGGAATATGTGTACTTAAGTTAGGTATAGTGACTGCGGATCCCAGCCGTGCGAGTGAATTAACTAGAAGAATAAGGTTCGGGTGGAATCACATTCGGCAAGCATTCTGAAATCCTGAATGGCAATCTACCACTAACCCTCAAGAGGAAGCACAGCTACATCTTTCCAGTACTTGCATACTGAGCTAGAGGCTTACAAAGAGGGTTCAGCTTAAATTCAGAGCGACGCAATGTGCGATGGAAAGGAAAATGATAGGTGTAACCTTAAGAGACAAGAAGAGGGCAGGGTGAGTCAGGGAGGAAACCTGCAGGTTTAAGAATATCATAGTTGAAATCAAGAAGAAACGGACATGGGCTGGGCACGTATCACGAAGGCAGCGCAGCCGCTGGTCCTTAAGGGTTACTCACTGGATTCCCACAGAAGGCAAACGCCGAAAGGGGAGACAGAATGTTAGGAACCGATGAGATTAAAAAACTCGGCAATGGAAAGCATGAAACCGGGTTGATTGGCGGATCATGAGAGAGACGTTTGCACTGCAGTGGCCGTAGACATGATGATCATGATGATAATTATGATGATGGCAGGTCTATGTGCGTGCGTGCGTGCGTGCGTGCGTGCGTGTGTGTGTGTGTGTGTGTGTGTGTGTGTGTGTGTGTGTGTGTGTGTGTGTGTGTGTGTGTGTGTGTGTGTGTGTGTGTGTGTGTGTGTGTGTGTGTCCACTGTCATGTGCTTAAATTTACGGGTAATTCCACTCTCGCGAAGCACACCTGTGCACTTTGGCACTTTGAAAATTGTGAACTGTGTTTGGCAAAAGCCCCAGGCTACATTGGAATGACAGCTAAACGGAATTTGCGCGTTCTTTTCCCCCTTTTTTTTAATTTTTACCCTGACTTCCAGCGAGAAACGAGACTAAGCCGCGACCATTTCGCGCGTGCTGGTATTCTCACGTTTCGCGCTACGTGAAGACGCTGTTCGATTTCCAGCGCTCATAAATCTAATTTATCCTCCCGCGTAAATGGGATGCGCCACAGCTGGCATCGTCCCAGGAACAGCACGGACACCGGTCGCCGAGGGTATGAGGCATTAAAGATTATACGGTAGACATTAATCTTTGAAGGCGGATGTCTTGTGAAAGTGACAAATGCAGACATTACATGTTTCTATACTGGTATGAGACCTTTCAACGAAGCCTACGCATGGCGCAACACTCCGTACATTGGAGCCAATAAGATCCACAACAATTAAACCGGTGCCCTACGCGGATAAATACAGCCCCGCGCCACAAATCGCTCAACATCGCTTGCCGACCATGCTATGCTCAAATCAATCACATGATAGTCGGGATAGTGATGCAATGATTTCCACGGAAATGGAATTATTTGTCGAGAAAGGAAAAGCAATCTCTCAGAATTTGTTGGAAATTCCAAGTTCCCTGCTTCGATAGTATTTAGCTAAAGGGTTCCTCGAGGGCCTCGACTAGCAATCGGCAGCGTTGTTTGACCATGATCAGAAAATGTTGCAGAGCACCTTGTAAACGATAATGAAACCGACGATGATCGCGACTGATGTGAGATCTATCTTTTCCGTTTTGCCTCAG